CTGAGGAGTTAGCCCCTCACCTTGTGTGGTTGCCTTGGGATGAGGACTCATTTTCTCTTGATACTTTCATGATTTTCTCTTTGGCTTTCAGCATTTTTATTATGAATCTGTAGATTGCTGAGTGTTTATACTACTTGGAGTTCATTGAGCTTCTGGGATGTATAGTTTTCCGCTATTTTTCACCAACTTTTCTCCTCCTGTTGTGGGATGAATTGTGTCCTTCAGAAGCTGTGATATGTGGAAGCTGTGATATATGTGGAAGCGCTAACCTCCGTTATCTATGAGAGTGGCCTTCAGAAATAGGTTCTTTGGCAGTGTTCAAGGTAAAGTGAAGTCATACATGGTTAAGATGGACCCTAATCCAGTGTGATTGGTGTTCTCATGAGAGAAGAACAAGAGGGGTTCCTGTGTGCCCATGCGGCCACCTTCCTGTGCCTGAGCGAGGGCTTTGTGAAGACAGGTGGAGGTGACAGTGGTGTCTGTAAGCCAAAAAATGCCAAGAATTGCCTCGGTTGCCAAGAACCAGGTCAAATTCATGGAACACGTTCTCCCCAGAACTTTGACAAGGAAGCAGCCTTGCTGAGACCTGGATTCCAGACTTCTAGCCTCCATAAATATAAGGGAATATTTCTCTTGTTTTCAGCTGCCTAGTTTGGGTTCTTTGTTACTGAAGCCCCCCAAAACAAATACTAAACAGATTTTGGTACCAGATTGATGGGCACTACTGTGACAAACACCTTAAAGTGTGAAATGGCACTGGGATTGTTTAGTGGACAGCGGCTGGAAGAACGGAGGCACATGCTAACAGTAGCCCGGATTGCCTTGAAGGGACAGTTGGCGGTTTTGGGAGGTTGCCACATGGAAATGAGGAATGTGGTAATGGCTACTAAGGGGAAGATAAGCTTGTTAGAAAGTGGAGAAACTTGGTTGAATTATGTCTTAATATGTTTTGTGTGTGTGTATGTGTAAAGGATTATTGGTTTTGGTTTTGAGAGCGAAATAGAGTCGATATGTTATTTTTGGAATATGGATTATTTACTCATCATTTTTTGCTGTTTTCTTGAATATCTAATAATTTTAATGCTGTTACTTGAAGTGAATTAAGTAGTAAGACACAAAAATTCTGTACTCTGCTAGCTGTGCTGATAAATAGATAAGGAAGGAGGTTGTAATTACTGATTATAGTGACATTTTAAGATATTTATGAGTTTAATGAGTTTGAGTCTCATTTACCTAACTGAATGTAGCCTGTAGTTCCTTATGGTGATACAGTGTTCTGTTTAGCAGGGTAGTAGAGAAGCTTTTTATTTTTTGGAACATGGGTTAGAAATTTGTTAACATGGGCTGGACATGGTGGTACTTTGCTGTAATCCCAGCACTTGTAGACTGAGGCAGGAGGATTGCTTTTGTTTTGGTACCAGGAATTGAACTTGGGACCTTGCTTTTTCCAGGCAGATGCTGTGCCACTGAGCTATAGCCCCAGCCCAAGCTGCCATGTTTTTTGTCCTAGCTTTTTCTCCCTGAGAGTCTTAGATTATTGTCAGGTTTGAGTAGTCATTTGTGGAATAACTTTTTCCATGTCCATTCTGTAGGGAGGGTGAAGTCAAATTGACCGTTGGCTGTTAGGAGACCTTCTGAAGCATCAAACTACTTTTCTAGTTGAGAATCTCAACTTGTTCTAAGTATGAGGTGGGTGGTGTGTGTGTGTGTGTGTGTATGGGTGGTCATGGGGCATAGAATGACTCGGTAGTAGTTTGATCAAATAATATATCTTAGATTGTTACTCTGTTGGTAACCTATGCCTTATTACTTTATGAACCTTGCAACCCGTGACCAGAATTTTGTCCTGGAATGTTACAGGAAAATTACTCTACTGGTTTAGAACTGATGTTAACATAAAATGGTGCTTTATTTTCACATTGATTGAATCAGTCTTTTCTCATTTGCTCTGTCTGTTCTGTCTGTCTCTTGAGGCTTTGACTATTTTTTCTTTTTGTCCTGGATCTGTCCACAGTGAGCCTTTGTGGAAGTGAAACCTCTGGAGTTTTTAAGGCACACTGTACTCTACACCATGTCTTCTAAACTTTATTCTTACTACTCTCTTGTGATGCTGGCTTAATGACTTCCTTGTTTCTACTTGTGTTTGTATTGAGGTAGGAGCGATGGGTTCTTGCTTGGTGATTCTTCCAATTTGGGGTTAGTGAGTTACTCATCTGTGCGTGACCAACCTATTATATGCACTTAGCAAGTATTAATGATTGTATTGGTGAGGCCATTTATTCTCTCTAGATCCCCTGCCTGCCATTTTAGTGCTTATTTTAGTGCACTAATAGTTCCTCAGGTGTTTCAGATCATAATCATCTTTTGGCTCAAATGATTATTTTGCCCAGGTTTACATTTTTGCCATGTGTTACAGCTATGTTGAAAGGTTTTGGACTGAATGAAGAAGGCTCTCTGAACTTTATTTACCCAGTGGGATGACAAAAGAATATTGAATTTTCCAGACCAAACCCTACTAGTATTTTTAGCACTAATTGTTTCCCCTAATTTTCCACCAATTGCAAATCTGTACCTTTACAATGTTCCTAGTAATTTGTATAGCAGATCTCCTTTAATCACATACCTTTAATCTGCGAGTATCTTTTGGTTCTCAGAAATAGCAGGAATGATGGAAACCTCTAGGTTTCAGGCAGTTTTATAATCCCTAGGTTATCATGTAGGTTGCCAAAACAAGACAAGGAGGGTTATGATGAATATTTCGATGCTGAAAGTGATCTTGAAAGAGCCATTAGTCCATGGTTTCACAAAAGCTTGTAGAATTTGAGTGAGGCTTATTGACTAATGTTAAATTTGTTGGGTGAATGGTTGATGGGAAATGAAATCTGCAGTGAAACAAAATAGTAACAAATAGACGAATTCTTAGATGGGAGGAGAAGACATATCTGTTCACTGGTGGGTCAGCTACATGGGTCCATCCATTTATGCATTACCTGATGTGACACAGTGTAAGTTTCAGAGTACTATCTATGATATATTTTAGCCAAAAAATATTAAATTGGATTCAATTGGGTATCTCAGTTTTTTAGAGATTAGTTTATAGCTAGTATTAGACTTTAAAAAAATACTGTAAAATACCATGAAGAAAGGAGACAAATGAAGTTGGACTCTGTTCTCTTCCTGACTGCTTTGTCAACAGATCAGCATTATAGAGATATGGATTGGGGCCAGGGATTTGGCTCAGTGGTATAAGTGCCTGCCTAGCAAGTGTGAGGTTGTGAGTTTGATCCCTGGTACAAAAACAAAAACAAAAACAAAAACAAAAACAAAAACAAAAACAAAGAGGATTGTGCTAGATTCAAGGGGATTTATAATGAGTTCAAGGGGATTTAAGGAACCATCAACTAGTTTAGTGTGTAATCTTAGATCAGGTACTCATTTGGAAAAATAGCCCATTAAGGAAAGTTTTTGAGGGTTTAGAAATAGTTTGGGTATTATATGAAGTGAAATTTATCGAAATGGAGAGGTGGAGAATATTGATTTTTTAAAAAAATGTACAAGTCTAGTTTTGCATGCTTGTAATCCCAGCACTTGGGAGACTGAGGCAGGAGTATTGCCCAGAGTTCAGGATCAGCCTGGGATACAAAGTGAGTTCAAGGCCAGCCTGAACTACGTGGCAAGACCTTGTCTCAAAACAACAACAAAGTCACCCAATGGGACAGTAATGCATGTACCTCCAGTGGTTCAAGCTGATGAGAGTGTGTTCATGTTGTATCATGAAAACTTTCAAGCATGCCAGAGTATATAAAAGAACAGTACAGTGTAATGAACTTCTTTATAGCCATCATCCAGCTTCAGTAATGATCAGTTGTGCAGTTTCTTTCTACCTACTGTTCCTCTCCACTTGCTTTTTGAAGCACAGCCTTTATGTCCTTTTTTGGGGTGTATGTGTGTATGTTCACTGGGGGATCGGACCCATGGGCTGTCTCATGCATGCTAGGCACATCCACTGAGCTACATTCCAGGTACCCAGCCCTTTTTTATTTTGGTGCTTACTCATAAGTTGCCCAGGCTATCTCAAGCCTCTGTGCTAGCTGGGATTATGGGCACGTGCCATCACACCTGGCCCAAGTGTCATTTCTTTCCATCAGTTGTTTAATGTTTGCATTTTATAGGTAAGAACACATGTGGAAATCATGATGCCAGTATCATATCAAACAAAATAAACTGTGTACCTTTAATATAATCAGGTAGTCATTGCTCATATTTCCCTAGTTATCTCAGTGTGATTATTTTCTCCAGTTACAGTGTTTGAATTGGGTTTCAAAATATTTTCTGCACGTTCCAGACATGGAAGCTAGGGCCTTTTGTAGTCCTGTACATTTGCACAAGGAATGGTGCTGCATCCCTCGCCCATTAAGCTGTTTCCATCTATGGATTTCTCTCTTCTCCCCTGCCATTTTTCCCTTTTCAGTTTATTTGTTGTTGAATCTAGGATTTTTATCTTTTCACAGTCTGCATTTTTCTACGTGCTCTCTTAATCTCTCTCTTATAATGTCCAAGACCGTAACATTTCTAGTATCCATCTGCTTAAAGCTTATAAAGCGTGTTTGTAAAACGTGTAAAATTTATAAATTGAAAGGGTTGATTTTCATTCTAAAGTCCTTTGAATTTAATACTCTTACAACCTTGATTATTTTGGCAAGACAAAACAGTTATTTGAAATAGTAAACACAGGGAAGGATTTACAGAGGTCAGGTGCATGAATGTTCAGGCGGGCACTTGTCAATTTTGTTTTCAATGCTCACTGAAAAATTTACCCTAAAAGAAGACGCTGATATAATGGGATTCTTTGGAAATATTTAATATCCAAAGACAGTGTAGTTTACAGATTTATTCTTCATTGTGAGACCTGTGTATTGGTTTTGTTTTCTTTTCCCAAGAAGGCTACCAAGATCAAGATTTCTACTGCCTGCTTATTGATTTGTCTCTAATGATTACAGGTTGAAGATGACAGTGATACAGAAATCCAAAGAGAAGAGAATGATGAACAGGGAAATTATTCTAAAAGAAAAATCATCTCTAACTGGGATCGATACCAAGATACTGAAAAAGAGGCCAATAATGAGAGTGGAGAATCACAGAGAGGGACAGATTTCAGCGTCCTCCTGAGCTCTGCAGGTATGAATTCCACCTGTGTTCTTACTGCCTAGTGTTGTGAAATGTGCTCAGACCTTTTATTTTACTTTCAAAATTGAATTTTTATAACTAGCACTTCATTCTTTGGGTTTTAAATTCAAGTAAAGGATGGTGTTTCTAATGGTTTACAAGGAGAAAACATTTCTTTCTTTCTTTTTTTTTTTTTTTTTGTGATACTGAGGATTGATTCACAACCTTGTGCTTGCCAGGCAGGCCTTAATGCTGCTGAGCTAAATTCCCAGCCTGGGAAATATTTCTTGAAGTAAATGGGTTTCCATGTCCTGATGTAGGATGACTAAAGTCTCTTGAGGTGGATAACAAATTTTTTGTAAATGGGAGATGCTGAACCTTGTCATTCTAAATTTGCTGGTCTTAGAAACGTAAGAAACATTTCCTTTGCTTTTACAGGAGTCAACATTTATGTTTAATGAAGCTTTATAAAATTCCCAGAATTCCCCATCCGTGGATATGCATGCATTAGAGCTGTGTGCACCCAAACCCCCGAACTCTGTGTTTTTGCTTTCCGATAGTTTGCTCAATCAGTAATATAACCCAGTCCTTCTTGACTGGCAGTTTCCAAAGATCAACTCCATTTTAGGTGACGTGAAGCTAGAGTAGTAACAGGAAGTAGGGGAGGAGGACTAGGATGCAGATAGGTGCTACAAGGGTGAGGCATAACAATTCGAAGGCTAAATGAGGATGGACTAGTGGTTGACAGGGTGAACATGGGAGGGCGGGATGTGGGTGTGGTTACAGCGGGCAGCATGCTGAATCCTGGTACCGGTGGTACTGGTACTATTCAGGTCTTGACTCTCTCAGCAGATACATGGGCCTACAAGACTGATAAAAATGTGCAGAACTTAATATACAAATGCACACAAATGAGTATAAATAACACTGGAGCAGTCTGAGTGAGTTTGGGTTCTGTCAGTGTCACTGTCCTGGTCGTGATATTATACTGTAGCACTGGGGAAGACTGGGCAAAATGTTTAAGTGACTTCTATTGTTCCCTTACAGTGAGAATTACCTGGATATAGATATCAAGGTTAAAAGGATGAATATGTGGGAAATAGAGAAATAAAATGAAAATAATTCAGTTGTTTGTTTTGAATTCTCTCTTTCTCACAACTTTTATGTTGCTACTGAGTTCTGTATTTCCTGGTTTTCATATTCCTGTATTTTTGATTGCCTGCGCTGGACTTGAAAATCAAAATGTGATGCACTCACTTCCAACTTGGTTGAATGAACTTTCTGGAGTTGGAAATAAGTGGGAGACTCCTAAACTGCAAGTGAAAAAAAGCACAGTCAGTCTGTTCTCATTGGTAGGTGGTACACACAGCATATACATAGATGCACAGATGGCATTCAACTCACGGACTGTCCAAGGACTGAACACTGTAAAATTTCACTGGTCAAATGAGCACTTCGCTCATATTACCTGCATTTTGACCAGTTATGGGTTTATAAGTACTTCATTGAAGGTGGAAGGAAGGTGAAAGAGATAAAATGTGACTTTGTTTCAATTCTTAACAGTTGTTTGGCTAAAAGACACAGGAGGAAAAAATGAAAGTAATGCAGTGAAATTATTATGTGCACTACATGTGTCCCTAATGCAGTCAGTTGAGTAGCTGGTATTTGGAGAGTATTTGGCAATAAAAGGTACATTGTTTGAAGTCAGTTAAAAATTCTAGTCTAATCCGTCAGCATGTTCCATTGGCTATGATTTTGATTATTTACTTTAGCATTTTAAAAATGCAGTTTAAAATGTGTACTCCGCCATTGTCTTCTGGTTTCTTCCCAGTTGGTGTGTTTATCTGTGATTAACTTCTTGGAAAACTACACTAGTTATTTCTATTGCTGTGTCCTTACATTTCTTTTCTACTCTGCTGCTGATTTATCAGTTTCTTCTCACTGTAGCAGAATCCTGAGAAGAGCTGCTGTGCTATCTGATGTGTGGCAGTGTCACTTTATTGGTTTCTTTAGAGAGGTAGAGTTCATTCTGTCATCACAATAATGTATTAAGGGTCCTGTAGACAGGCAGAGGATATTCTTTAGAATAACTTTTATTATACCATCCTTACTTGTATAAATAAATACACAACAAGTGTATACATCCTAAACTTTTTTAGGTATGCCAAGTCAATCTCCAAACTTGAGATGAACTAGAGTTCCTAGTGTTTCCATTCCTACCACAAAATGCGAACTGTTAAGCTTTTCAAATTGTGATCAGTTGATTGAATAATACATAGTTGTGGCTTACTCAACAAACATTAAGTACTTAGTATTTCTGGATCCTGTCTTAGAAGCTGGGGTTGTAACAGTGAGCAGAACAGACAAAACTGCCTGCTTTGTGGAGTAGATATTTTAGAAGTTGGAGACAATAAAGAAAAGTATATAAAAAGGTAAATGCTGATAATGGTTTAGTATGGAAATACAGTGAATAGAGGCTGTCACAGTTTTATAAGACAGTACCCAGAGAAGGTCTTAATCTACCAGGTAATATCTGAGTAAGAACCTGAGGCAGATGAGGGAGGAAGCATCGAGGACATCTGCAGGAAGAAGGATTCGTCAGAGGCAGCAGGTACAGAAGCTGTCAGATTGTGTGTGGGGAACAGCAGGCTCAGCCAGCATGGTAGAAACAGGGTGCACAGTACGCAAGAAGGTCAGACAGCATCATGTGAGACCACATCACGTGGAGATGTGGAGATGGTGCTTTTACACAGAATGGAATGAGAAGCAACTGTGGGTTTTTTTTTAAAAATAGGACCACCCTGCTGTTTTAGAATGACTGGAAGACAGGCAAAATGTGTGCCTGTGGAGGGGACAGGTAGACCATTTAGGAGGCTATTGAGATAATCTAGACAAGCAGTGACAGTGTCTGGGGCCAGGATGGTAGCAGGGGACATGAAACAGATAGGTTCTGGGTCTATGTTGAAGGAAGAATACAGAGAGCTTGGAATGGGGGGATAAGGGGAAAGATATGTGAAGGTGAGGCCAGGTGTTTGCCCTGGCAGCCAAATGGGTGTTGCCATTAACTGAGATGGGTAAATGGTGGAAAGTATTCAGTGTTGTGTGTGTTAAGACTGAGATGCTAGTTAGACATCTGCATCAGAGTTCCTGTGGAAGTACACAGCCCCTCAATACAGTTAGAAGGAGTTCTGAAAGAAACCAGGTCCTCAGGTCGGGGTAGGATATCAGGGAAGGAAAGACACTGGTATTCTGCAGCTAGCAGAAGAGACTCGTATTGAGTTTGCCTTAGTCACCTTTTGGTTAGGGGATGTGGCCAGTGAAGACAGTCTCACAATAGGTCACAAGCTAAGCTATCTGGCTTTATGGTCTATTTCTCGTCCAGTCTTCTGCTAATGCTTCTATCAGCCTGCCCTGCTGGAAGCCCGGAGACAAGGGAAACATGTTGCTGTAATAAATACAGGTTAACTTCCTAGGAAAGAGCAGGGAGGGGGTAAATCTGAAGAGACCCGGTGCAACATCCAGTTAGACAAAGAATAGGCTGTTGGGTAAAGACTCAGGGTCCGTGACTGAGGTTAAGGCCGAAAATAGGCATTTGACTGATACCAGCCTGAAGTGGATAACTGAAGTCCATGAGAAGGGCAACCAAGAGAATTACGAGTGTCCCTTAGCTGAAATGTTGGGATCGCAAGTATTTTGGATTGTGGAATATTTGCGTATGTGTAATGATGTTGGTTATTAGACTCAAATCTAAAAATGAAATTCATTTGTTTCCTGTCAATCTTACATTCATAGCCTGAAAGTAATTTTATACACTGTTGTAGTGCACCGGCGCTTTGCTGTGACCCATCACATGCCATTTGTGGTGAAGCTGGGGAAATGATAAGAAGTTGGCAAAGGAAACTGAGCAGGAATGATGGAAGGAGACATAGTGTAGTGTCCGTAAGTGGCTGAGGAGGAGAGATGGTCCTCAAATACAGCTGATGACAGCCAAGAATTGGCCGTTGAGTTTAACATGATTTTACTGCTTATCTTCACAGGTGCAGTTTTGTTGATGTGATGGGCATTTTTGAGTATGAGAGGAGTGACATTTGAGATAGCAAGTAAAAGCTTGTCATTTTAAGGGGCTTTGTTGTCAAGAAAGAGCATACATTATAGGCTGGTGGGAGAAACAGTTTAAGACGTATTTTAAAGACTGGAGAAATAACCACATCTCTCCTCAGTGATCTAGAAAAGAGGAGGGGACGATAATGTAGGGAGTGTGCCAGGTACCAGGTCTCTATTCTTCAGTGGATGGGGGGACAGGCTCTGCTGCACAGGGGGAAGAACTGCTCATTGCTAGTGGCGTGGCAGTTTCGCCACAGTCGTCGTAGGAACAGCAGGCTGTGGACATGGGTAGTGGCCGGTGGGTAGGTGTGGTGGGGGCTTGAGAAAGTTCTCTTCTAATTCTGTTTTCTTAGTGAAATAGAAAGCTGTGCGTGAGGGCCAAGGGAGATATTGGAAGTTGGGGAGAGAGCAGAAGGTAAGAAGTGGTGGTCCTGGGCGTGGAAGAGTGAATGGAGGAGGAAAATAGGGTTTGGCTGTTGGGTGGTAACAGGAGCCCAGCCCACCTGAGACTGGTGATGATGAAGTCAAGATGACAACTGGTGTATCCTGCCATTCGTGTTCTGCTGTGTGGTGCAGGGAGAGATGGGCGGGAGAGGAGGATTTAGTCAGGGCTGAACTTGAGCTGAGAAAGTGCAGTGAAGGGAGAGGAGGGAAAGATTAGAATGACTGACCCTGGATAAGAGGGAGGTGAAGGGAGGACGGGTGAAGGACTGCAAAGAGGCGCTCATCCATGCACGGGGAGCCTTGTGCGAGAGAGGGGTGCTTCTTCTCCTCGCGGAGGATGAGTTGGAGAGGGAGGCAGGGGTGGTTTTAGACTGCAGGGCCTGAGTGTGAGCTTTGCTGGGGGCAAGGGTTAGAGATGCTCATAATGATACAGTTAAGTGTAAAGGAATCCGTGACGGCGCTGA